GTTCGTAGGTACGCAGGATAGATGGATCCAATTCCAAATTATGTCTATCTTGGGAATTAACGGTGGGACGGGGATTCCAGTTTACCGAAAAAAGTGCGGGGAAACGGGGCAGGACGGGCAGAGGAGGTACGGGCGCAGCGGATGGAAGTTATTTTGGAATTATGATTCCGGATGCGTCCTGTGAGCACCGCGTGTTTCACGCCTCGTTTCGGGTAATATCCAACGGTTGCAACCATTTACATTGCATCGAAACGCAATATTAATGTAGAAATGTTTATCAGCAATATATTCGGTTGCATTGGAACTTTACTGATCGAGTAAAATTGTAAAATAAGAACAAATACGTGCCTCGAAAAATAAATCAGAATAAAAAGAAATTAACCTATTTTTTCGGATCTAAATCGCGAATATTTGTTTTTCATTTTAATTTTTACACTTACAAATAAAGTAATTTTTATTAAAAAAAAGGGAATCGACTTAAAATTTTGCTTATATGTGTACCTATGTACATACACACTGAAAATAAAAAGTTAACAATCTGTTACCGGAATGTGCGCGAAACCGAATTCATCCTCTATTTTGCCAGTTTTGGAGGTGGAATATTTTCTTCAAATTTAAATGTGACCAATACCGATGTAGGTACTCTCTGTACAAAAAAAGAATCATCAAAATTGGTTCACAAATCGTTCAGTAATCGCGTATCCTTTTTATTGAAGTCAGTTAAAAACAAATATACCTAGTTAGATCCGAAAAAAAAATAGTTTTATTTCCTATGTGTAACAATCGCGAAACCTAAGAACTCGATAAAAAACAGTTTGAATTCGATGTAAATAATGAAATTTTATTGTTTTTATGCATATAGATAAAACGAAGGCATTGTTTCATAGTTGGACTCTTCCCCCCCCCCTCCACATGATCCTGAAAATTAAAAGTACCAAAATCTTATAACGTGTGTTTTAATGGGGTGTCACCGGGGTTCTTAAGTATTCTAGCGGCCCACCCTATAATACCCAGTCTCCTTAGTCTGGCACGTCCTCCCCGTGATATATTAGTCCCAGTTCGTCGTACATAATTTTGTGGAGGGTGGTATCTCCCCAACTTCCCCCGGGCGCCGATCTACAATACGAAGGTTTTGTTTATTGCTGTATAATAGGCTGTGAGTTTACACTTTCTTGATCACCTGTTCAGTTGATGTTATTGCCCTAGAAGTAGCTCTGTCAATGACTGTACCTAATTTAAAAGTGAATGGAACACTTATTTTCTTTCTACTTTTAAATTAAACCAGCAAAGTGTTCGATATAAAAAATATGTACAAATGTTTCTCGCATTTTATAATTAGGAATCACAATCTTTTTTCTCTCAATTAATTTATCTCTTTATAGCCGGTTCTTTATCTAATCTACTATAGATATACTCAAAAAATTTACTTCTCTTAAAACGGAACTGATCAGTAACCAACCTAAAGAACTATAGTGTTATACAAATGTATTACATAAGTCAATAATATACATAAAATATACAGCGTGCCCTTTATTGGCCGTTCCATTTAGAGATACCAGGCGATGTGGTAAAACTTAATTAGTGGCGCACAGGAGAGTCATTCATCTCCATGCGGTCACGTGTATATCTATGTACCTATACATTATATAACAGTATTGGTATATGTAGAGCGTAATTTAGGTGAATTACTTTATACGTATTCTTTAGATAAGAGCAAAGCGCATTTTTTTTTGTATAAATTGATGTTTTTCTAAAAATAAATATCTTTATAGGCTATCAATCCATTATATTTTGATTGTAGACGTTCGGAAGTAGATGCCAACAGTTTTAGTTTGAAATAGCTGTTTATTTTTCGCCATATGAGGTCGCAGTTGTTCATATTGATTAGTAGAATAATATCCATAATGTTGTATGGTGGTTTTACAATATATTAATGAATGGCCTGTATAACACCTACTAGACTGTATCATTTTATATTTTCTAGATCCCGTTGATCAGACGGTGCCAGGTCATATTTTACTGTCATAATTACAGAAATGTTACAGAAATATGCGTATGTAGGTAAATGTATAAACAAATACATTATTTATTTACAAACATATCACATTAATCATGATAATTTGGACGTTAACCTTATGCTTTAGATATTAAAATTAATTTTATTTACATATTTCACAAGAATAGAAGTTATGTAAGCATTTTGGGTTATGTTTTGTTTTTCTTATTAGGCTGTATTACAATGTTATCGCTAAAATGAACATAAAAGTATTTTAGAGTATAGTGTGTGATAAATATCCTTGCATCTCCCAGTTTCCTAACACAGTAAATAAGTCCATTAGTTAAATTAACCAAGGCTCTCCCTCGAGTGATTTGTCATGTGTTAGGGTTTACTTTAACAAATACATTGTGGTTAAGACGTTTAATTGTCTCATATTGTTACCATTAATCTTAATCTTGATTTCTTGGTAACGAAGTTAGGCTTTGATTTTGCTAACGGCTGTTATATCGGGTTACGCAGGAATTATGAGTTCTATATTTGTGTAGATATGCTCGTATTTACTTAGTGCCGAGCTGTATAATACTTACAAAATAATCATGAAAATATTTTATTGGGAATAGTAAAACAATCGAATTAAAATAATCTTATCTAATAGGTACATAGTAAATCTAGAAAGCTTCCGATGTTTTCTTATTTTTTAAATTACATAAGGCCACTTCCGTAACTATCATACCTTCTCAGCAATTACGTATGAAAAAGTTGATATACGAAGTACATTTATTTTAAAGAATCAATCACAATCATCTTATTTAAAAAGCACTACGCTCTTTCTTTCGCCTTTTTTTTCGTGAGTCCCCATAGACAAAATTGTTTAATTTCATATTAAGAGTAACAGAAGACTGTAACGTAATATATTTGCACCTTAAATTAAACTTCTTCTTATCGTATCGATGCCACGCTAAACGCGTCACTAATAACTGTAGCCACCATTAAATCCTCAAGCGTGCAGGACACGCAGGGTACGATGTGAGATGGGTCATGGTTTGAATCGCACTACACAAACGACGCAGGTTACAATCGTTCAAAATCTCCACCTGAACAAATTGTCTTCGTTAAAAGACCAAGTGCAAAGACACGACGCAAGCACATAGAAAAATTCGTGAGGTCCGTTGGTTCGTTCCGTGGCTTAGTTGGTATAGCGTCTGACACGGTATTCAAGAAGACGTCGGTTCGAATCCAACCGGATCGAAGGAATTTTTTCTGAGCGTTCGATCTTTGTATTAATAATTATAACAAACTAGTGGAGTAATTTCACAAAAAATAATTGAATATCAATTCAATAAAAATTTAATTAAATTGTCTTTACTTCGACCGACTTGAGTCTGAAGCCTATTTAAAGACTTCCAGATTGACCATGTCCAGGAGAAGATTCTCTGAAGGTGGGATAAGGGCAGATAATACTTTTGCGCGCCAAAGGTAGCACTTCGGCTGAACTGGCTCAATGCTCCGAGGATCGACACATTTGACGAAATTTATCCGGCTCTTCATCTATTGTGAAGTGATAGTGAATAAATTAAACTGATAACGTGTCTTACCTTTGAACAAAACGAAAAAAATAAAATTTATATTAAAAATTATACAGGGGCAAGGAAATGAAGAAAATTAAGATCATTTTTAAACAAACCGTTCCATTGCGCATTAAGTCATTAGAAACAATATGGCCGCTGTGTAGATCAGTCGGCCCACGCGCCGTCACCGCAAGTCTCGTTTGTTTATTGCTACCCTACGGACTGCGGAAGACTGATGTCGAAGAAAACTATATTTTACTTAGTGACATTTTGTATTACACCTTGAAATTACATTTTTAATAATGATTTGGGACCTTGTGATATACTACATAGGAAAAAATAAGGAATAAGATGGAAAGGAATAAACTTTTATCAAAGTATATAATGGAGATCAGACTTTTGGAAGATTAAACGAATTGAAATTGGTTATTGTTTAACAGCTAATTCTAATGAAATCGAAAAGATTTTGCTAATATCGTTCAAACACAAAATCAATCATTTTAGGTTCAAGGTATCAGTTACAAAATATAAAGGTGCAATACAAGTACCTACGTTTGGTAAATTAATATTTTTCTGATGGCCAGAACCCATACGAATCAATATTAAATTACCTGTATGAAATAGAAAGATGTAGGTGCTTAAAGGTACAGAATTAGATTAAACTCAAACCAGTAACCCATGTACCGAGACGCGTGTCGGCATGCAACCTGCGTGCACCACGGGGAATGAAGACGTTAAATAATTTAATCGGATGCCTGGATGGTTTATGCACACATGCCCCAACAGGAATGCGAACTTGTTCCTTCACTAACTTCGTGTCTTCCAATGAAATTTTATGCTTTAGTGGAGGTCCCGTGCCTTTCTCTGAAGGTTTTTCTGCTTTGTAAGTAGGTACCTTCTGACACACATTATGCTTTTTGTATTAGTATGGTATTTGTAATATAATGATAGAAAAAGTAAGTTTAAAAAGTTTTTTTGAAAAATGTACAAAAATACTGAAGAAATAGTTAACAAAGTAACGAGAAGTGCGAAATGAGAAAAAAACTAATAAAACGACTCGAAAGTAAAATCGATGAAATTTTAAGGCAACGTCAGACCAATAAAGCATAGCAAGACAGTACGTTTAAGGCGGCTTTAACTGTAGTATATTATTTAATATTAAAGATCTTAAGGTAAACGGGCGGAGTGCCTGCAGTTCCGCGATAAGGTTCCCCCTCTCCCCACCTCTTCTTTTTGGAGGGTGGAAACCTTAAGAGGCCGCCATACTTCAAATTGCGTTTAACTCAGATAGCTAGTTTGATACATTGCTACCATTATTGCATATCAAAGGGCTTTTGATAAAATCGTACCGGCGATAACTATGTGTTTTCACCCACTTATCCTTTTCAGTATTCTACTACTAGAGAAGTTATTTATAAAGTTTATGAACCTACTTATGAATGATTCTGTGATACCTGTAACAAAATAAAAAAATAATGAAATAAATTATTTTATTTTTCACCGGACAACAAGTTTCATGAAAAACAGTGTAATAATATAATTCAATAAGGCAGCTTAAATTATAGGTTTTGCCGAGTTTCAGTTTATATATTAAACTGAAACTCAGCGAAAGCTTCATCACATGAAATACACACACACATAAACAACGTACGGAACGAATTGCAAACGTAGCACTACATCACGAACACGTAGACACAAACAGTGGCGGCGAGCGATGTAACATCGATGCTGCATCGATATTATACGGATACAGAGCATATCGATTCCACAATACAGTCACAACTCAATTCAGTGTAAGTCGGGCAACGTTGCCAAGATTAATGGATCGAAGAAAACTTATCGGAAGCCAAATTTGTATTGAGAATATTAATGGATGAATATATAAATCATGACTTAGTTTTGATTTTATCTGAAACTACACATGTGAAAGCGATATCGCTTTCGCGATAGTGCTTTGCTACAAAATCAAATGAAATTCGATTTGAATTGGAAGTAAACACATTCGCAGACTATTTCGGTGGTCTTAATTTGTCGTCTGTATAATTGAGTTCTATTTCGATAGCTAACGATAGTCGATCCGAAACTGAAAATAGCCGGGAGCGGTATAGTATCGCTACGGACAGATTAAACATCGAAGCCCAAATGAACGCGCGATAATTTATCGCACGTACCCCCGTGTGTATTAGCTGTATCCGACTAATGCCGGCATTCGATATTCGGCGCTCGGTCGCGATTCGATATTTACGATCGAACCAGTCGCATTAGACTGTCCGCCCGTAGGTAAATTAGCACAGATGCTCGCCACTGTTACAGTGATTCATTCCAAATTGGCTTTTCAGCGGGGAAAAAACGGGAGCCAAGTTGTGGTAGACATTATCTAGGGATTGGAGCTAAATAGCTTTTAAAAGAGTTTGCTGTTGCTTTCCTTTTTGAGGGTTTCGAATAGACTGGTGTTTATACTATTGCCGATTCGGGGTTCAGTCTTACTGTAAATCTCTTCACTTAAATACAACTAATACATTAGGGCTTAAGCAATTGCTTCCATTTGTTAATGCCCAATATCGGTCTTGATCTTCCAGTCTACATCTTGTTCTTGCATCTTTGTAATAGAAGGCCAACAAGACCTCCTAATTGTCGCAAGACCCTAGACTAAGACTGAGCCTGGAAAATTTTGAGCAAGAACAGGACTGAGTCTGCAAGTCTTGCTTTTCGCAGTTTGGTCAAGCTCAGAGGTAGGCGTTAGATATTGAGGCATTTGGTTCAAACCAATATAGATATTGATAGACGTACCTTACGGTGTCAAAACCACAGTTTCTTCTAATAACAAAGTTGATCGGTTGTTATAAAACGAAAAATAGTGTGTCGATGATTATAATTTAAAGTAAGTGTTTTTTTTTACTCACACATATACTAATCTTACCTGTATGACGGTGTATGCACCAAAAATCGAAAAACTAACTATAGACCCCGGGCGGGCAGCGCGGCCCTCACACGAGCGGGTCATACCTTGTGCCTATAACATACGCTAGCTAGTATCATTAATGAAACTTATGCGTGGGTTTAACCTGTATGCCTAAAATTATAAGCAATCAATATGATGTCTATTATGAAATATTGCAAAGTAAATTTTTCGTTATTTGGTTAGGCTTCTCTATACCTATGTAGAATTCATATGTACTCAAAATGTACTCTGAAAGTTGTTCTAAAATTTGAACCAACGCTCAATGTCACTTTTTGTAAGAGTAATAGATATAATAATAGAATAGATAGTTTGGTGATTAGCAGTAAGTAATTGTAAGAGTTGCGAGATTCTTGCAGCAAGACCGAGACTAGGTCTGAGTTTACAAGACTAAGGGTCGTATTCTAGAACTCTACTCAATGCTCAAGTCAGGATTTGAGTATGGTTTAAAGCACTCGAAATCATACTCAAGTCCCTGCCATTAGGGTCGTATTTCCAGTGCTTGTGTTTCCAGTGCAATCCTGACTTGAGCATTGAGTAGAGTTCTAAAATACGGCCCTGAGAGTGAGACGCTTGACCAAGACTTAAGTCAACACTACTTTCGTTACATCCACATTTCAGAAATCATCGTCCGTATCTTTAGTATCAATTATAAAATCGTTTTATATTTTGGTATCATCGGCATAATAGCCATTAACTTTCATGACTGTAAAATTCTTGGCTTCAAATTTCCACGTACAATCTGGAGGTAATAAATAAAAGCGTTCGCAATTAGACAGTGTAATGCCGAGATGGTAGCCTCACGATGGCTATCAAGGAAGGGCCGCCTTCACGCGTGCTAGATAGACTACCAGTAACACTAGTTAATTGTAAACAGTAAGCTATCTTCAAACAAAGGGGCTTAGGGGAGTCAGGAACAACGGCACATAAGAGTTATGTTAGTAGAGTCGTAGATGTAGATGCGTCATCGAATTATATGGAGTCAAACTAAATGGTTTACACCAAAAACCTATATCAAATTTCATTAGTTTGAAATTGTCTATATTAAAATTGTTTAGATTTACCTAAGGCAGGAATATAACATACATACAACACATAAATAATAACTGAAGTAAAAAAAAATACAGATAGCGCTTTACTAAGTTGAACTTTATAAATATGTATAGCAACCATTTTTTTTATTTTTGTAATACACAACTCAACTGAATTTATGCAAATATATACGAACCGAGCAAAAATGAACTGGAAGAAAAATCAACAATTAAGCAAGGCACTACGTTACTAAATGGTCACACTTCGTTAACCTCTAAAAAAGGACACAAAATATGTGGAGAAAATTACTAGGTGCGTTCAATATCACTTTAACAAACACCATGGTAGTTCCTTAGAGATTGATATCTGGTGTAATTGTATACTACATAGCATGAGTTACTCATTGTTAAGTGCCCACTTTTTAAATTGGTCGGTTAATTTGATTTATTGCATTGTCATGTTGTAAGTAATACCGTTTTTTTGTTCACAGATGGTTTACGTGAAAATAAAATGTATGTAGGATTGGATTATTGATCGAGGAAGGGCTGCCTTGAGGCGTACTACGCGACCGAGTAAAGTAAGTGAGAAAACGTTAGAATTTTATCATTCGTAGTATGAGTTTTGAATTTACTGAGTAACTATAATTGTCTTCGATACTGTAATTAAAATATTAATAATAATCATTCGAACAACGTAAATTCTTATCTAGTTAGTAAAAAACTTTGTACTTGTAAAACTTCGAGGTGTGCCACGATAGAGGTCCATTTATGTTTTATTCACAGATCGTGAAATTGGAAAATAAAAATCAAAACTAAAATAAATTATAAGGACGTGAAGGGATTGTAAACACTAGAAATCTGAAATTTGCGTAAGAGACGAAACGAATAGAAAACAAAATGTGCTCAGCTAATATAAATAAATATCAATATTACTAACGTGGGTACTTATTTAACATGATCATATATATGTAGTTGACGTCAAAAACATAATTTTATGAACGACACAACATAGAGTTCGTGTACTGGGTCGTAGTTTATTTTTAATGAACTGCAAATTATAGCACATGAAATACGCAAATGTTACATTTTCCAATAATGAACCCGGAAAATTACCTTCAGTATAAATAATCCAAGCCAAAGGGTGGCTTCGATGCGCCGCTACTGCAAATCAACCCCCTTCACCCCCGCTACCCCACCGCGGTCTGTCGACGATAAATAAAATTCACGTTTTAACAATAAAATGCATTTTCCGCAAATGCTTCCAGTGAATTATTGTTCGGGCTTTACGAGCTTAAAATTATATGGCCACGTGAAATTTCCGATCTCGATAATACGCGAGTTGTGTTGCCGACACTATTTTCGGACGATATTCCTGTTTTAAAATTTGCAACAATATTTTAAATCACGCTCTAAGAATCTGTTCAAGACTGTAATAATCCTTAACGATATTAAATTAACCTTCACACTTCAATCTGAGTGCATATTGCAAGGAAATACGTGCTTGCATTTTGGTAAATGCATGATGTACCTGTATTGAGGGTGGATGTACCTAGGGATGTATTTTTTATGCATTTTCCCATTTACGAAACCACATCCCTTGCTAAACTAACATGTCACGTACGGCCCCTAAAACTTATAAAACAATTCCCGAAGGAAATGCGATGTTTTATTTGTAACAAAAATAGATCACGTGGGTTGATGTAGAACCAATAGCGTCCCATGGCACAGATGGCGACACCAGAGCCGAGATAGCAAAAATATGAATTGTAGCATTCGATATTTGTCACTTGAATAACTGCTCCCGGCGGTACGGCCGAAATGGCCATGCTGTGAGTCGCACCTCGTTTGTCGTATGATAAATTTTTTGGACACCGAATTTCGAACAGTAATCTATTGACACGGTGCAGTACTATGACTTGTTTAGTACACAAACTGTCAAAAAACGAATACGCAAATATGAGCTATTTCTGAAGCAAGTAGAGTTCAACTGTCAATAAAGAACACTGAAAAGGTCTGCAGCTATTTTTATGTACCAGAAGGTACATTTGGTGTAAAAGTCATGTCATTATCAGCCAAATACCACATTAAAACATAATATGTGTGCATAGACGTGCTTACATTGAATTAGAATTATTCGATGTGATGATTATTTTAATTTACATGACGCTTAGGATTAAAGCAATGCTAATGCACAAAGCAATATATTGAACTGACAAATTTTGTTAAAGATTATTTGTAACAATCTTATTTGCGATATCATTACAAAGAAAATGCATAAGTCATTTTGTTTTCAAGCTCACTAATTCAACACCAAAAACTTGCGTTGGTAAACAGACAGTGGAAAATAATTCGGTCCATTCTATTTCAGATGTGGTATTTTTGTACTATGGTCACGGCCGTACGGTTGGCTCAAGCACTGGTTATTAATTTTCTTAACGACTAGCATGAATGAACTGGTGTTAGAGACCGGTTGGATTTAGAGATTTTGTAGCTTGACCCTTTTGCCTTTAGTAACAGAGGTGAAGTAAGTAGGTAAATTAGATTCAAATACAATGTGTGGGTGTTTTTTCGATGATATTACATTACATTCTTGACAATATACTGACTTTATCTTAAATTCATCCCAGTACTCGGAAATTCCATGAAATATTTATTTATTATAACCAACGAAAAGTCAGATGAGCACAAGGTTGCCTACTGATTTATAAACGTTTTCCGCTTTATCATTGAAACAATGCTCTGTAAATTTATACCTTTCTACCTAATACAAAGTTTACCTTCACTTAGCAAAGTAAATACATTATATACTTTTGTCCCCTAACATAATCAGCGGCCGAAGCAGCCACCGTTTGGTAATAAGCAAACAAAACGTAATAACGGCCAGTCACGCTAAGGAAACCAATTTGGGAGGTATTTGTAAACGTCAAATATGTTTGTGCGGACCTATTTATTGCTCGCATCCCTCACGTACGAGTAAATAAAGGAGACACTGTGATAAAGTGAAAAGAGATACCTCGACAAATGTGTAACTCTGAGCCTTAAACACCGATCCAGTTCCACCTGCAATATACTCTATCAGGCATCACTTAGAGTCTGTTTTTGCGCTGAGTTGTTATAGGCTAAGCGGTTCCGCGTTAAGGCGATGGTATACAAGTGGAAAACTCAGTGCGCCACGTGCGAATGATTCATAGTCGTCCCTTAATTAAAGAAGATTTTAATTGTATCGGATGTCTGTGAAAGCGAAAATAATGCACTCCTAAATTGGGGTAGGAATTAGGAAATTTATTTTTGTTGTCCATTCGATATATTGCTTTGCGTGTTTTACGAACCCTAATCTGTAGGGTATTGTTTCGACCTTTGTTTTTGCGTGTCCCAGTCCCAGTCATGGGACTGAGTTTTTATCTCTTTTTGTTGAGGTCACTTGATTTATTTGAGAAACATTGTAAAGGTACGATAACACTTTTTTGTTTGAATTTTGATTCGCACATTTTTGTTTATGTGTGAAACAAAGAACACTGACTAAAAATGATCTACTTTTGAGTAGGGTTGCCGTTGGAAAGTTGCCATTGGCATCATACATGCCCTTTATCAACCACTATCTGTCTTTAACCTCGTAAAGCAGTTAGCATATCAAAATGTATGTAATAAGTGAAGTGATTCAGACCCAGACAATATTGTCGAAGAAACCTATTATTTCTGTGATCACGTAGACGCCAAGTGAACATTATTATGAAAATATCACATACAAATTTAGCGCTACATGGCACCTATGTATAAACAGGGTATCCAGAAAAAAAATGTTTTTCATACAGAACTGATACTTGCTTTGACCTGAAATATTTGATTTATTATATTTACTACATTTTAGTGTAGATTGAGCGTTTAGCGCTTGTTTTATTGTAGTATACAGGACCTTATGAGGTTAAAAAGACACTACTCTCAATATTTTTATTGATTAAGGAATTAAACTATTATACATTTTCGCATTAGCCTTTCAAAGTAATTCCTCTTCCAAGGACATTCCTAACTGCATACAATCAATTCTTAAACCAACTAAATACAACCCCTTAAATTCATTTCGGCTACATAAAGTCAAGCTGCCACCAACTTAAAATATCTTTCTTAATTACAAAATCCTTTGTTGTGCGTATCTGATCTATGTAAACAGACGGGGCGAATGTTTTAAATAGCTACCAAATACCGGCTGAGGGAAATGAGCAAACATAAACGTCTTAATGGAAGAAATGGTGAAGGGATGATTGTAAAGTCAATGCTTTTTACTCAATAAATTAACCTATTACTTGTACAAGACTTCCTATCCTAATGCCTCCGAGGTGTCCAATTAAATAAATGTGAAGTAAATTTATGAGTAGATGCAGTACAATTTTTTCCCGTAATATAACTTCATTACCTAGTTGTACAGGGATCAAGCATGTTGAAAAATAAATTACTTTTGCATACGTACGTATGTATAAGCTTATATGTACGTGAGGTAAGCGTAACGATGCTTGGACATCAATTAACATGTGCCAATTTAATTTAGAACACCAATATTTAGTTTTAAAAGGTAATCAACCCGAGATTTAATTTATAGGTGATGTAGTGTTACGATCATGTAGCTTAACAGTACTTCATTTGGCAAACAATAGCGGTACGGTCCCACCCCGCAGCGCGACACTGGATAAATTGAGTCGAGCCTTACCCGCGCTCGCTCGCGGAAAATTGGGGAAAATCGATTTAAATATCTTGAATGTGATGGCTTATCTCGATCGAGGAGCTAACCCGAATCCATTGCCGGTGATACTGGTATTTGTGGAAATGTTCTTTAGTTGATTTTTCTGTGATTTTTTTTTCTTTTATTTCTATCAAGGGTAACAAGATATGAATTTCAAAGAAGATTACGTGTGTACGTATTTACTTACGTGTACATAAAAACTTAGTCTGTTTTGCATTATAATTGGCGGCGGGTAGATCATGAAAAAGAGCCAATTAAGAAGTGAATCGTTAGCTCGGTTCTCTTTGGTACTATCTAGATAGAAATACTGACTAAGAACATTCTACCGATGAATCTTGCACGCAAGCTTTAGACCCTCTGGAGTAAACCAATCTCCGAGAAAGTCCCTTAATTGAAATGCGCCTTTAATTTTGAATCAGCTATTACCAATCAAAAAATAAATCGCTTCGCCCATTCCGCAAGCCCCTAAGAACTTCAAGGTAAGCCTGTTTAAGTCAATCTAATAGAATCACCTCGGATTGCTTTCCGATATTTACTGTTTGATTTTTCCCCTCGTGTCGAGATTTGGGACGTTTTACCCGAAAGAGGCGTGTACCGGTTGATGGTAATGGCCGGTAGGGTCGCTGGATACATAACCTTCCTAATTAACAATTTGCCCTACAGTCTATGAGGTGCGACTTGATTATTTTATGAGTTCCGTACCTTTTTCCGTCTAGTTTTCCTGCTTGTTTCGGGGACGTAATTTCTTACAAAATTGTTCCGAATGAAGTAGATATTTTTTGAGATAAAAAAAATTGGAGCTACTGTTATGAATGGTTTTAATTTTTTCATAAATCTCCGTTTACAATTTGATATGAAGAATGCTACGACATTCTTGCTACGTTAAAATTACAAACTCACTCCCCTCAAAAGAATCCATTACTATTTTTCGAAAGAAAAAAAAATAATTCAACTGTGCAGTAAGTTTATTGAATTGATCATGCGCAAATATTTATTGATGGGGACAAAACACGATAGGCTCAAAATTTATGAGGAACCAGTAGACATAGGTAAGTTACATAGATTGACATTGGTAGCAATCAGACAAATTGGCTCCAAGCCCCTTCTAACCGAATT